CACTGAGTCAGCATGGGGGCCAGGGAACCCAGTGCAGATTTACGAGAGTCCTTCTAGCTTTACTAAAGCAACATCAGGCTGTGAGACCTTCACGTCACCTCAGGTGTTGCTCAGCAGCTTTAGACTATGCCGTCTTATCTTGCAAGATAAGCAAACCCCGCTACTCCCTGCCGGTGTACAGTGATTTCTGCATTCGGCACCAACAAGCCCAGGCAAATCCGTGGTCCCACATTATGGACAGCTTTGCAACAGCTCCCCTTCGCCAGTGGGCGAGCCCTGGCTGAGCCACCACACTGCCTTCGTCCCAGGACCAGTGCATCCCTCTGATCCAAGCATCCTTCCCGCTCCCAGCAGCGCACGGCAGCTTGGGCACATCCAAACTCAGGCAGCACACGGTAGGATGGAGATCGATGGCACCATGCCCAACCCAGGGAAGCACCCAAGGACAATACCATGTCTCTCCCCTTGATGCCAGCCCACAGCAAGGACGGAAAGCAGCACCAGCTCACCCTTATACAAATCGCGGGTCTGACTGCCCCACAACCTGCCCTGCATCCCTCGACCAGAGGCCGAGCAGACCCTGCTGCTCCATCAAAGCAGAGGGGCCAGGATGCAGGGCACCAGCCACCCCAGATGCTCCAGTCCCTGGGAGGACGGGACTGAACCCCAGGGACATGGCAATGAAGCCCACTTTGCACAACAGCACTGCTCATGTGCTGCTATACAGGACACCCCCCCAAAAAGGAGACCATATCCAGCATCTCCACGGGACAGGGCAGCAAAGCTCAGTGCGGCACCTCTTCCATCAATATAACAGCTCCCTGCCTGTCTTTATCCACTACATTTTATCTTTATCACTTTGGAAACCCATCCATTTTTCTGCTGCGCAATGCAATTTATTTCCCTGGCAAAGGGAGTTAAGGGCTTGGTGCCAAGCTAAATGCAGGATACAGCAGTTCAGCTGGTGGCATCGGGTTCCCCAGCTACCCCCCTCACTTTGCAGAGGCAAATACCAAAATCCTAAAAGCAAAAGGTCAAAATCAGCTGGATCCCACTCCCAAGATCATTTTCCTTCTCAACCCAATGCGAAAGCCCTGCTGGGGAGGGAGCTGTTCTTCCAAAGCTCAGCTCAACTACGGGTTTTCTTTCGACCTGCTCTTGTGGTTGGAACCCGAATAGGAATATTTCCAGCTGGGATAAAGTTAGCTTACCATTTAGTATCAAACCCGCTTGGTTCCGGACTTGACCAGCAACAGTTTTACAATTAGCAACATAGCCAAAGGCTACTTCACCATCGAGTTTTCCAAAGTTGGCTTCCCAGCTGCAGCATGATATTATTTATCAGCTAAACAAACTGACAGTACTTTTGCAGGAAAAAAAAAAAAACAAACCAAAACCCACAGCACAAACGGGGAAACAATTTGCTGGTAATGAACAGAGTGCTCTGGAAACGATAGCTGCAAGATGCATAGAAATTCAGCGTCAACCTTGGCAAGCCACAAGCCTGTGCTGTCCCCCTGTGCTCCCCAGCAGCACTACCCACTGTACATATATCCTTCAGCCCTAACCGATCCACTTCTTCGTTAGCTGTCCCCACTTACATTTGCAAGGCCATGACCTCAGCAGCAGCCCTGGAATAGCGTATTTCTTGAAATATATATTTCATGGAGTTAATGAACAAGTTGCTGCATCTGTTTCTCCCTAGCAGCTGCTCGCAGGGAGAATTTGCCTGCTCTGGTTTTTGTTTTTTGATTAAGGCTGGATTGCTGCTTCTAGCTGCCCCCAGCAGCAATCATCTGCCAGCTGAAGAGGTTCACGTCCTGCATGGCCCACTGTCATCAGCAGCGCTCAGGCTTTCATGGCCGCAGGGCTCGTCTTGGAGGGAGAAGGCCTGCCAGAAAGAACCATGAGATCTACTGGACCCGGTGGGATAACAGCATCCTTGCCCAAAGGCTCACCAGCACCGGCGTTGGGGCGGCAATGCAGCCCCTGGTTAGGGTGGGCAAACCCTTCCCAAAGAGATGGTGTGGACCACCAGCCTCCATTTCTCCACCCGCCAGCGCAAAACCTTAGAGACACGTAAAAGTCAAGTCACTGCCTGTGTCCTCCACCTCCAGCAGTGCTTTAGACGTACTCAACACCTCACCATCTTCTGAAGGCAACGGCTGCCAGGTGCCATGAAGCCAGGCTTGAGCCCCATCCACACAGGGAGCACAGATAGTACCTACGACAACCCTGTGTCATGCAAGACTTGCTTGTGAGGAACCCAAAAGAGTGTTTTATCACCGTGTTACAGAGCAGCAGAACGTGGGGGCACCTCTGCCATCAAGCCAGAGCACTCATCACCTAGCCAGGGATACTGCCACGCTCACCTGCAGAGACAGCCTGCCCTGGTTTCGGAGCCCATGATGACTAGACATAGCTCCCCAACCTTCTTTGGAGCATCCATTCACTAGTGGCTTTTTAACAGAAGGAGGAATTTATCGGTTGTTCGTTTTCCTAGCTACGCTGCACGCCCTCCGCACATCTCCATGCCATCTCTGCTTCTCCAGCCACCGCCCAATTCCCAGCCCCTGCTACCAGCACTGCCTATGGAAACAGTGTCTAACCCAGCATTTGCCATCAGCGAGCTTCTCAAGCGTCAACTAACAGTGTGCTCAAGGGATTTTTTTCCTCCGCTTTCGGAGGAGAAGGACTAGAACTGCTTTAATGATACAGGAAAACAACATTCCTCAGATTCTTCTCAAAGACATCATTTGACATCACATATTTATCCCATTTACAGTTCATCTAACCCTGCATGTTCTTTTAAAGCCAGAGAGAAGTCACTTCTCAAGCAGTAACACTCAAAGCAAGAAAAGCACCTCGAAAACATCAGGCATCAGCTGAACTTTTTTTATGCTGCTTCTGGGCAGCCAAAACCACCGTGTCAAGCTGCTGGCAGTCACCACCCGGCTGGAGCTGTGTGGGCAACAGTAACCTCCGAGCAAGACCCAGTGCAGCAGCAGCAGCAGTGATGGTGGTGGTGGTGGGATGAGCTCTGCTGGCATCAGGTACCCAAATTCCCCTGCACGCCCAGAGCTGCTGCTTCCTCCCCATTAAAAAAAATACTCTGCACGGCCCCATTGCCTGAGCTGGGTATCTCCCTACAAGACCACAAAGCTCTGAGATGACAACTCCTTCAGGCTGATACGAGCCCCACTGGCCCTCAGGGGCTTACCTGGGAGCAGGTCTCTATCCAGGGAGGGTAGTGAAGCCACCAGGTGACAGCACACATTTGGAGGGTGCTCCAAAGCAGCAGGGAGTCTTGCTGGCAGCTTCAACGGAGGAACCAAAAACGTCATCCACAAGCAAGAGGAGAGTCCTTCTTATCATCTACAGGAACTTAAAGTCAAGCAGGGATGTCAGCACCATGGGAACACCACACTCAATAGGCCCGTGGCAGCAGGGATTCACGGTCCCATAGTCAAACCAGCCCTTTCCCCAGGTCGTGTCCCCTTGGAGAGACTCTCTCCAGGATGTCCATCCCCAAGCCCCACTCATGCAAGGATGGGTGAAGACAGCAAGGAGCTCAAATAAGCTGCTTCTGCACTTGAACTTCTGAAGACAACAAAGTCCCCCCAACTTCCCTCATTTAACAGCAGCCCCCAGGGGGAAACCACCACTTGGTGCCCAGCACAGCTCCCCCCCAAAAACCCCTTCTTTTCTTAGAAGCACCCCCAAAGGCAGGGAAATGCTCCAGCAGACTTACTTGCTCCCTCACCAACCACCCTACACACCCCCAGCACAGCCCCCAGACTATTTAAGGGGTCTGGATGAGCTGATGCAGCCCACCTGGCCCCACACATGGTTCTCCACCATGAAGCTCATCCCAATTGCCATAGAGGGTGGAAAAAGCCAGCCTCAACCCACACCACCCGCTCTGCCAACCACATCCCCCCATACCGTAGTTCGGATGGGGCAGATTTGGGGTGGGAAAGCAGAAACGTGGGCTGGGACCTAAAGAAACGGTTTTGGCAGCTGTTCTGCTCACCGGGATGACACAAACCGCTCTGGTTTCACTTTTAATGGGGCCTCCCCTCCAGCACGGAGGCATGTTTAATTTGCTGGTCGCCCGTAAAACAGTGCTGTGAAGGAATAAGGAGACAAACAGTGTGGTGCTGCCCTGGCCTCTTGCCAGAGAGGTTCAGCAAGGCAGGAGGGGCTCTGCTATATTGGATTTAAGTATTTGTGCAAAAAAATTTAAAGCATCTCCCATCTCAAGGGTAAGTAGCACGACCTCCCTGCAGAGGGACAGAAGCAGAGTGTGGGTAACCGATGGTCGGTGTGACACTGCGCCAGAGATCGGGTCCAACCTGCTGCTCGCAGCCAGTCCCACCACAGCAGGCTACTGCCACCGGAGTTTTGGCCACCTCGGAGGACGGCAAGAGCCTCCGAGCCTGATCCGGCACCTGACCACCCACACAGCAGAAACATTAGGACTGCTGTTTTCATCATATAGACCCAGGGGTCATGCATCCAGACATCTAACCCTCCACTTCCAGCACTGACTCATAAGTTTAAACTCAGCTGGCAATTTCCACAGAATACGTGTGTAAAAGGAGAGCACATCACACATAGCATAATTTGTTTTAATAGAGATGTTATTTTACATTTTTTTATAGTAGTGAGAAAAGTGCTTCAGAAAAAGATACTCCCGTAAAGGCAAGCTACAGTAATGCTAGCATCCCAGTCTTTGTATTTCGTACATAAAGGGGCACTGTCAGATTAAGAAGAAAAGCTGTTGTTTTACCATAGAACAAGTTAGAAACAAGTAATCATACGGTGAAGAGTAACTGGGCTTTTTTTTTATTTCATTATTGGAAACTATTTGCATGTTCTGAAATTCTCAGAACTAAGAACTCTCTGCAATATTTAGACTGCAAAACACTGTGGGCAGTGGGAAGGTTTGTTGGGCTGTGTTTTTTAAAAGCACTCCTCCATCCTCCCCCCCAGTGAAATCAGATACTATTAAAACCCAAAACCACAGAAAATTGGTCCCTGCACTACTGGAGTGCCTCTATGAACTGCTGTTACTTTAGCAAACATCTCAGGCTCAGCCGCACTAGTTGGCCCAATGTCAATCCTGACAAGACAATAGGATGTGCTTCACTTATGTACTTAACCATCAAAACATCAAGCTACATATATGCCTAAAACCCTACAACACCTCGGCCTTTGTAAGCGAATAAAGCAAAATGAGGAAGAAATGGGTGTAAACATGACTGCAGCTGGCAAAGGAATCCAAGTGAAGAGACAGCAGGTCAAATGGGTGTCCAGGGGAGAAGGGTGGCCTTGCGGCTTGAATTTTAGGCCGTTCATCACACATACGCGGGCAGGCCAGCCTCGTTTCAAAGTGAATTCTGTACGGGTCCTGCGTGTGCGCATGTGTCGACAAATCAAGCCAAGGGATGCAATTTCTGCAAGCTCACCCTCTCCAGACACTTGCGCCGATGGCTCTGAGGCCCTAGAACAAACACGTAATTTAAAAGGAACAAAATGTACTCGCACAAAACTTTGCGGATGTCAGCTTTATGTAAAGAGGCCACTCTCAAAGCTACCAATTTTCTCCAACAGCTGCAATCAGAACAACTATACCTCCACCTCCTGTTATGCTCACAACCTTCAGCTGCCCCAAAACATCTTCTGCTGTGTCAGCTGCTTATAATTTCCATTGTGCATCTCATTAGTTATTCTTCTAGGCTGTCCCTTCTCTGACACAGTAAATGGCTCTTTTAAAGGGTGCCATTGTCTCTAGGAACTAACCTTCATCGGGCAGCACGCTGCTCAATGGGGACCACCCTGAAGGGCCTGACTGTGCTGTGCCCCAGATACTAAGGAGGGGGGCACAATTAGCGAAACTCCTTTGCACCAGCATTAATTAAATCTTGTAACCATTTCACTGGTGCCATGATGACTTGGAATAAATTTTTACTGACAAGTGGTTGGTTTTGTTTTGGTTTTGTTTTTTTTTTAATAGATGGTCTCTTCCATGGCAGAGTCTTCCTCGTCCAGCTGAATGCAGCACCTATCTTGGTCACTGCTCCTCCAAAGGCAGTTGGCATCTTCCATCTTGGGCAGTATTGTACGATTCACAGTTTTTGCACTTCATGCCTAGGAGATGGAACTGCACTGTAGACCGGGCATTGCAGTCATTGCAAAGGATCTACACACATAGACAAGAGAGAGAGTCTTTAGCATCAGTAGGACACTCAACAATGTACTACAACCATGCCTCTAGCAACCACAGAACTGGTTTGCAATCTGGGGACAAAGCAGAAAATATCTTCCTTTTAAAGACAGTGGGGTTGATCTAACTTTTTCACTTGTAACTACTCAGATCACGTTTTATAATCACAGAGAATTTACTGTTAGTATGGCAAGGTGACTCCTTGCGTAAGTCAGGAATAGATACGCTTTGGCTTCTTCTCCATGTAGGAAACTACCAGAGAAACCCTCAAGTGAAAACGAGAGTAGATTAACAGCAGCTAGCAACATTAACCAGTCTGCTGTGCAAGACAGGTAAGTAAGCCTTCCTCTCAAAACAGGCAGTAAAGAGAGGTATCCTGACTCCAAGAATTGGTAGGATGGGGTGTCTAAACCGTAACAGATGCAACTAAAACCTTAATGACCAGTGCCATTTAATTCGGTGTTACGTGCAAATAGCAGCCAGTTTCACAGTTCTGAGTTAACACAAAGAAACAGGAAGAAAACAGAATTCTCTATGTGCTAGCCTTGCACAAATCAATAGCTGAGTATTTTTGCAGAAAACCCACAATGGTTAGTCTGGAACATGAAGCTCCAAGCTGCTAAGAACCAAATGTTCCTGGTTTTCCCTATGATAGCACCTAACACTACTGGAGAAAGCAAGACATTTCCAAAGACCAAGCCATTTCTCTGTTGTGTGAAACTACAACACTAAGAGGTTGTGGTTTTGGGGTTGGGTTTTTTTTGAAGTTCAGGTGGGGGGGGTGCTTTTTTGGTGTGTTTATAAACCCAGCAGATGAATACTGTAAGCCTACACACAACGTTCCTTCCTCATTCCCTAACTGTCAGGTTGACTTCTGATCCAGGACAAGTTTTTAGTGCCCTCTACTGCCAGTAACGCAAAGGCACAGACCTGCCAAGAACAGAGACATCGGCGCAAGTCTCATCTCTTACCTCCACCATCATGTTCTGATACTCTGTGGGCATAGGAGTCTGTGCTACTTCGTCATCCAGCTGACGCCAGTACCTCGTCATATCTAAAGCCGAGTGCATGCACAAAGGACACCTGTAACCTCTGGCAGAAAGGAAAAAAAAAGTCTAGATCAGAAGATGGAGTGGGGCCATGAAACGAGTCCACCCAAAATGACAAGTTTCATAACATACCAGTCAAAGAGAAAGACTCCGAATCGAGGAGTTCTTGCATACAGAATTAGAAATTAAAAGCCCATTATCACTTTAGGAGTTGGCTTTAAGTTATTCAATACAGGATTAGCATCACATTCTTTGCCTCTTGCAGTAATCTGTTTGGACTACAACAATATTAAGAGAAGAGATGTTTAGAAATACTTACTCCTTTAGCATGTCCTCGTAACATGTTCTGAAAAGAAAACACAATGAGAAGTTTAGTAAGAAGAATGCAATTACTGACCAGTAACACATCTGGGCTGAACAAAGGGAAAAGGCACACAGCTATCCCCAAACCAAAGTTAAAAAATATCCTGAGTCCAAGTGAGAAAAAAGCTTGCCAGCAAAATCAGTGAGTACTTAAGCAAAAAACTGCAAACAAAGCACATCTGGTTCTATTCTAAGGTCTTCTAACCTAACATGAGGGAACAGAGTCAATGCTGTGACAAGGAACATGCGGTTCAAGTTTGCTGAAAAAATGGAGTGTGATGCATCACAAGGTAAGTTTAAGACAGACAGGACTTGAACGAAGATTCAGTCCGGAGAGACCTACGTCAAACACAGAGGCCGTTCTCTTAGCGCACAGAGACAACAGGGGAAAAAACAAGAGAGCCAACAGAGTAACAAAAAGCTGTGTCTGTAACACCAGACACAAGCAGAAAGGGAAAATGGAAGGGAAACATGTAATTATTCCTCCAAAGGCACCAATGCTATATATCACATCACTTTAAAATCCCAATAGAGCCAGCAGTTTTTGTAGCGCAAGAGAGCACTCCATTGTCTTGGGGGCTGTCTTAAGGAAAAAATCTAAAACTTAAATGATGAGCTGCCACCAACCCCTTAAAACCATTGTCCAACTACTTTCTGCACCAAGGAGGGACTTCTCTAAAAGATTCTTTAAATTTAAGTCGTAACAGATGGAAATTCAGCATGGGAAAATTTAGAATGAACAATACACAGGCCCCGCCGCCACCGCCAAAATTTACAGCAGAAAGAAGACAACCTTTCTAAAGGAAGTCTTTCCTGATGAAACAGAGCCTATCCCCTACCATGTGGGTCCCTTAGAAACCATCTGTAAGTAGCTGATACAGACTAACCAGGCCCATAGTGACGCTGAATAAATGCCACACACAAGGCAGAAGCTATTTCCCTTTCTCAAGTATGTGCAATGCTTTACCTGTGAAGGAGGTGACCGCAGGGCAGAACATGAGCTCCAACACGAGAAGTATGAATATCCTGTTTTGAGGCAGGTATCAGACAAAAGACAAGAAAATTTAATTCAAACACAGTCAAAAATACAGCCATGCACAAACCCAGGAAATGAAAAGAAGCAGCTCACCTCCAAACATATTGGACAGTCCTGCCTGGAGACATTTTCAATGCACTTTGCAAAGACAAAATAAAAAAAAGTTATTCTACTGCATGGATATCTGCATTTTTCTAAATTGTAAAATTCCTTCAGAATGGTAAGATTTCCGAAACATTACTGTTTGCATTTAGTTTGAAGTTCTGAGAATTAACAGGTGGCTTAGCATCTTAAAAACCAAACAGCTTGAAAGCATACACAAGAAAAGGGCTCCCAGAACCCCTGCGGCAGCAAGCAGCCTAGCTTTTCCGATACTGCAGCCAGAACAGGAGCTCAAACTTACACACTGTTAGATGTGCAATTAACAGCTCCTTTTAGAAGGAGTGAAAGAGACCAAGATGTATATTTCCTATAGCTTCAACTGCTAGCAAAGCCAGCCCTGAAGGCTCTGTGTTGCCGTTAGGTGCACTTAGAGAACCTGCCGCTCCCTCGTCCGTATGGCCTGGGATGGAGCCGAGGCACTATCAGCTTTCACTTGCAAGATGTTTTTCTTTTTTTAAGATAAAGAGTTAACCAGTGTACTCCTACCTTGTGCTTTCCTCGCAGACTCAAGCTTAGGCACAAGTTGCATTTCGAACAGTGGAAAAAATCCTCTTTCGGACCAATCCTGAGGAGAAAAGCGTCAGCCCAAGGCCGGTTCCCTCCTCTCCGTTCCCCACCCGGGCGGGGTTAGGGGCAGGGCCCGGCCCGAGGGTCCCGCCCGCCCCTCACGTACCTGCAGATCCCGCACTCGGCGCAGTGGTACTGCTTCTTGTCGCGGTCGAAGAGGTGGCAGATCCCGCAGTAATACTCGCCGAAGAGGCTGTGGCAACCCTCGCAGCGCTGCTGGGCCTGCCGCCGCACCGGGGAGGAGAGGAGAACCGGGGAAACGGCCGTGAGGTGCGGGACCGACCCCGCCCCAACATGGCGGCGGCGCCACCCCCAAAATGGCGGCGCCCCCGGCCCACCCCACCGGACCCACCTTCTGCAGGAGGCGGCAGCGGGTGCACTGCACCTCGGCCACGCGGAACCGGTCCAGCCGGTGCCCCTCGGCGCCGTCGTGGCACAGCCGGCAGGCGTACAGCTTCCCGCAGCACGGCGCCTGCGAACGCAACGATACGGCACGGCGCGGCACACCCTCAGCGCCCGCTCCCGGCAACCCCCGCCGACCGACCCTCCGGCTCTGCCCCGCCACCGCCTCACCTTCAGCAGGCAGCCCCGCCGGTAATGCTCGCAGCCCTCCTCCTCCCCGCCCGCCGCCATGGCCGCCCACA